GGGAAAAAAGGAGGGAAAAAAGGGAGAAAAAAGGGGGAAAAGAGGGAAAAAGGAGGGGAAAAAAGGAGAAAAAAGGGGGGGAAAAGGGGGGAAAAAGGGAGAAAAAAGGGAGGAAAAGGAAGAAAAAGGGGAGAAAAAGGGAGAAAAAAAGGGGGGAAAAGGGGGAAAAAAGAGAGGAAAAGAAGGAGGGAAAAAAGGGGGAAAAGGGAGAAAAAAGGGGAAAAAAGGAGGGAAAAAAGGGAGAAAAAAAGGGGGGGGGAAGGAGGGAAAAAGGAGGGGGAAAAAAAAGGGAGAAAAAAGGGGGAAAAAAGGGGAGAAAAAAGGGGAGAAAAAGGGGGAAAAAGGGGGAAAAAAGGAGAAAAAAAGGGAGAAAAAAGGGGGGAGAAAAAAGGAGGGAAAAAGGGAGAAAAAAGGGGGGGAAAGGAGGGAAAAAGGAGGGAAAAAAAGGGAAAAAAAGGGAGAAAAAAGGGGGAAAAAGGGGAGAAAAAAGGGGAGAAAAAGGGGGAAAAAGGAGAAAAAAAGGAGAAAAAGGGGAGAAAAAGGAGGGAAAAAGGAGAAAAAAGGGGGGAAAGGAGGGAAAAAGGAGGGAAAAAAAGGGAAAAAAAGGGAGAAAAAAGGGGGAAAAAGGGGAGAAAAAAGGGGAGAAAAAGGGGGGAAAAGGGGGAAAAAAGGAGAAAAAAGGGGGAAAAAAGAGAGGAAAAAAGGAGGGAAAAAAAGGGAGAAAAGGGAGAAAAAAGTGGGGAAAAAAGGAGGGAAAAAAGGGGGAAAAGGGAGAAAAAAGGAAAAAAGGAGAAAAAAGGGGGGAAAGAAAGGGGGGGGAAGGGACAAAAAAGGAGGAAAAAAGGGAAGGAAAAAAGGAGAAAAAAGGGAGAAAAAGGGGGAAAAAAGAGGGAAAAAAGGAGGAAAAAGGAGGGAAAAAGGGGGGGAAGGAGGGAAAAAGGGAGAAAAAGGGAGAAAAAAGGGAGAAAAGGGAAGAAAAAAGGAGGGAAAAGGGAAGGAAAAAAGGAGAAAAAAGGGAGAAAAAAGGGAGAAAAAAAGGAGGGGAAAAAAGGGGGAAAAAAGGGGGAAAAAGGGAGAAAAGGGGAAAAAAGGGAGAAAAGAAAGAAAAAGGGGGGGAAAGGAGGGAAAAAAAGGGAGAAAAAAGGGGGGAAAAGGGGAAAAAAGGAGGGAAAAAAGGGAGAAAAAAGGGAGAAAAGGGGGGAAAAAAGGGGAAAAATAAGGGGGGGAAAGGGGGAAAAAAGGAGGGAAAAAAGGGATAAAAAAAGGACAAAAAAGGAGGAAAAAGGGAAGAAAAAAGGAGAAAAAAGGGAGAAAAAAAGGAGGGAAAAAAGGCAGAAAAAAAGGAGGGAAAAAGGGGGAAAAAGGGAAGGAAAAAGGGAGAAAAAAAGGGGAAAAAATAAACCACGGAAAAATTAAATAATAAAATCGTTAAAATAGCAGGAAAATCGACTTAAAGAAATAACATCCCAATAAAATAACAGAAGAACAGCATAAAAATCGTAATTAATAAAGAATAAAAGAATAGAATAACAAAAGAATGGAATAACAAAATAATACCTATTAAAATAATTAAAATATCTATTAAAATGATTCAATTAAAATAAATTAAAATATCCATTAAAAGAACCATTAAAAGAACAGGAAAAAAAACCAGAATTAAAAAAAAATTAAAATATTAAAAGGCTAATTAAAATAATAATTAAACCCATCATTAATTAATAATCAATAATTAAAACCACAACAAAAAAAGGGTTTTTTCTCTCTAAAACCTCCTTTTTTCCCCTTTTTTCCCCCTCCATCCCAAATTCCAGGTGGGATTTGTTCCCTCCCCCTCCTTCCTGAGCCGAGTTTACCTCGAGGATTAAACCTGGCTTAGGTGAAGAGGCTTTAATTAAAATTAATTAAAAATTAATCCCCCTTTTATTGCTATTTCCAGCCTCAAAATTCCCTCGGGAATTTGGCCAGGGGAAGGAGAAGCTGCTGGGAAAATATCCTGGGAAAAAAAAAAAACGGGATTGGAGGGGGGGATGGGCTGGAAAAAAATGGAATGGGTTTGAAAATTGGGGAATGGGCCCAAAATCCTGGAATGGACCCTAAAAATCGGGGAAATGTCCCTGAAAATCCTGGAATGGGCCCTAAAATCCCTGGGATTGTCCTGGAAAAGTCCCTGAAAATCCTGGAATGGTCCCTAAAAATCTGGGAAATGCCCCTAAAAATCCTGGAATGGACCTGAAAATTCTGGAATGGGTTCGAAAATCCTGGAATGGGCCCAAAAATCCTGGAATGGGCCCTAAAAATCTGGGAAATGTCCCTGAAAATCCTGGAATGGGGCCCAAAAATCCTGGAATGGGCCCTAAAATTGCTGGGATTGTCCAGGAAATGTCCCTGAAAATCCTGGAATGGGCCCTAAAAATCTGGGAAATGTCCCTGAAAATCCTGGAATGGGCCCCAAAATCAGGGAATGGGCCCTAAAATTGCTGGGAAAGTCCTGGAAATGTCCCTAAAAATCCTGGAATGGTCCCTAAAATCCTTGGGAATGTCCTGGAAGGATCCATCTCCCTCCTTCCCAACTCCAGGATTCCAGGGATCCATTCCAGACCTGGAATCCACCCCAAAAAAAGTCGGGATGAGCCACCTGAGGTCACAATTGGAGTCACTGTTTGGGTTGGCCTGGACCATCTCCCTCCTTCCCAACTCCAGGATTCCAGCAATCCATTCCAGGATTCCAGGAATCCATTCCAGGATTCCAGGAATCCATTCCAGACCTGGAATTTACCCCCAAAAAAGTCGGGATGAGCCACCTGAGGTCACTGGATTGACCTGGACCATCTCCCTCCTTCCCAACTCCAGGATTCCAGGAATCCATTCCAGGATTCCAGGAATCCATTCCAGGATTCCAGCAATCCATTCCAGGATTCCAGCAATCCATTCCAGACCTGGAATTTACCCCAAAAAACTTGGGATGAGCCACCTGAGGTCACAATTGGAGTCACTGTTTGGGTTGGCCTGGACCATCTCCCTCCTTCCCAACTCCAGGATTCCAGGAATCCACTCCAGGATTCCAGCAATCCATTCCAGACCTGGAATCCATTCCAGGATTCCAGCAATCCATTCCAGACCTGGAATTTACCCCCAAAAAACTCGGGATGAGCCACCTGAGGTCACTGGATTGACCTGGACCATCTCCCTCCTTCCCAACTCCAGGATTCCAGCAATCCATTCCAGGATTCCAGCAATCCATTCCAGGATTCCAGCAATCCATGCCAGACCTGGAATCCATTCCAGGATTCCAGGTCTGGAATCCACCCCCAAAAAAGTCGGGATGAGCCACCTGAGGTCACAATTGGAGTCACTGGGTTGACCTGAACCATCTCCCTCCTTCCCAACTCCAGGATTCCAGGAATCCATTCCAGGGTTCCAGAGATCCATTCCAGGATTCCAGGAATCCATTCCAGACCTGGAATCCATTCCAGACCTGGAATCCACCCCCAAAAAGTTGGGATGAGCCACCTGAGGTCACTGGGTTGACCTGGACCATCTCCCTCCTTCCCAACTCCAGGATTCCAGCAATCCATTCCAGAATTCCATCAATCCATTCCAGAATTCCAGGAATCCATTCCAGGATTCCAGGAATCCATTCCAGACCTGGAATCCATTCCAGGGTTCCAGGAATCCATTCCAGACCTGGAATTTATCCCCCAAATAGTCGGGATGAGCCACCTGAGGTCACTGGGTTGGCCTGGACCATCTTCCTCCTTCCCACTTCCAGGATTCCAGGAATCCATTCCAGGATTCCAGCAATCCATTCCAGACCTGGAATCCATTCCAGGATTCCAGCAATCCATGCCAGACCTGGAATCCACCCCCAAAAAAGTCGGGATGAGCCACCTGAGGTCACAATTGGAGTCACTGGATTGACCTGGACCATCTCCTTCCTTCCCAACTCCAGGATTCCAGGAATCCATTCCAGGGTTCCAGGAATCCATTCCAGGGTTCCAGCAATCCATTCCAGGATTCCAGCAATCCATTCCAGGATTCCAGGAATCCATTCCAGACCTGGAATCCACCCCTAAAAAACTTGGGATGAGCCACCTAAGGTCCCTGGGTTGACCTGGACCATCTCCCTCCTTCCCAACTCCAGGATTCCAGGAATCCATTCCAGGATTCCAGCAATCCATTCCAGACCTGGAATCCATTCCAGGATTCCAGGAATCCATTCCAGACCTGGAATCCATTCCAGGATTCCAGGAATCCATTCCAGACCTGGAATCCACCCCCAAAAACTTGGGATGAGCCACCTGAGGTCACAATTGGAGTCCCTGTGTTGACCTGAACCATCTCCCTCCTTCCCAACTCCAGGATTCCAGGAATCCATTCCAGACCTGGAATCCACCCCTAAAAAACTTGGGATGAGCCACCTGAGGTCACAATTGGAGTCACTGCTTGGGTTGACCTGGACCATCTCCCTCCTTCCCAATTCCTGGAATCCTGGGCTGGGTTGGTTGATTCCAGGTTGGAATCCACTCCCCTCTCCCATCTTTGGCAGGGAATCCACCCCCAAAAAAGTCGGGATGAGCCACCTGAGATCACAATTGGAGTCACTGCTTGGGTTGGCCTGGACCATCTCCCTCCTTCCCAACTCCAGGATTCCAGGAATCCATTCCAGGGTTCCAGGAATCCATTCCAGGATTCCAGGAATCCATTCCAGACCTGGAATCCACCCCCAAAAAAGTCGGGATGAGCCACCTGAGGTCACAATTTGAGTCACTGGGTTGGCCTGGACCATCTTCCTCCTTCCCACTTCCAGGATTCCAGGAATCCATTCCAGGATTCCAGGAATCCATTCCAGGTCTGGAATCCACCCCCAAAAAAGTCAGGATGAGCCACCTGAGGTCACTGGATTGACCTGAACCATCTCCCTCCTCCCCAACCTCCAAAACTCTCTCCGGCTCCGCTTCCCCTTCCCCCAAAAAAAACCGGGAATTCCCCCCTTTTCCCAGACTGTTCCAGACCAAGTGCCGGGGTTGCCTGCAGGCCGTGGAGCCGTCGGAGCTGATCCTGCGGGTTCTGGGCCACGTCTACCACGAGCGCTGCTTCTCCTGCGCCGCCTGCGAGCGCCGCCTGCGCCGCGGCGACCACTTCGTCCTCAAGGAGGGGCAGCTCCTGTGCCGGCCCGACTACGAGAAGGAGAGGGAGATGTTGGGAGACCTCAGCCCGGCGGCTACCGAGGCTGGTCAGGGGGTGGGGAGGGAGGGGGGAGAGTGGGGAGGTGGGGTGGGCTGAGTTGAGTTGGGCTGAGTTGGTTGAGTTGGGCTATGGGCTGGGTGGGTTTATTGAGTTGGGCTGGGTGAGGTTGAGTTGGGGAGTGGGCTTGGGTTGAGTTGGGTTGGGTTGACTTGGGTTGGGTTGAGTTGGGGTTGGGTTGAGTTGAATTGGGTTGTGTTGTGATGGGTGGGTTGGGTTGAGTTGGGTTGAGTTGGGTTGGGTTGGGGGGGTTGACTTGGGTTGAGTTGGGGGTGTTGGGTTGGGTTGACTTGGGTTGGGTTTGATTGGGTTGGGTGGGTTGAGTTGGGTTGATTGAGTTGGATTGGTTGGGTTGGGTGGGGTTGAGTTGGGGGAGCAGGCCTTGACTTGGGTTGAGTTGGGGGTGTTGGGTTGAGTTGGGTTGGTTGAGTTGGTGGCATTGGGTGAGTTGGGTTGTGTTGGGTTGAGTTGGGTTGGGTGGGTTTAGTTGGGGGGGTTGGGTTGATTGAGTTGGGTTTAGTTGGGTGGGGTTGATTGAGTTGGGTTGGGTGAGTTGGGTTGGGTTGAGTTGGGTGGGGTTGAGTTGGGGGGGTGGCCTTGACTTGGGTTGGGTTGGTTGAGTTTGGTTGGGTTGAATTGGCATGGGTTGATTGAGTTGGATTGGTTGGGTTGAGTTGGGTTGGTTGAGTTGGGTTGAGTTGGGCTGAGTTTGGGTGGGTGGGTTGGGTTGAGTGGCATTGGGTGAGTTAGGTTGGGTTGACTTGGGTTGGGTTGGATTGGGTGGGTTGGGTTTAGTTGGGTTGGTTGAGTTGGATGGGCTTGACTTGGTTTGGGTTGGGTTGGTTGAGTTGGGTTGAGTTGGGTGGGTTGGGTTGAGTGGCATTGGGCGAGTTTGGATGGGTTGGGTGGCATTGGGTGAGTTGGGGGGGTTGTGTTGGGTTGAGTTTGGGTGTGGGTTGGGCTGAGTGGCATTGGGTGAGTTGAGTTGGGCTGAGTTGGGTTGATTAGGTTGGGCTGGTTGAGTTGGGCTGAGTTGGGTTGGTTGGGCTGGGGTTGGGTTGGTTGAGTTTGGCTGTGTGGGTTTGGTTGGGTGGGTGGGGTTGGGCTGAGGCTGAGTTGGGTGGGCTTGACTTGGTTTGGGTTGGGTGGGGTTGGGTTGGGTCTGGGTTGGGTTGGGTGGCATTGGGTGAGCTTGGGTTTAGTTGGGTTGAGTTGGGTTGGGTTGAGTTGGGTTGGGTTGAGTTGGGCTGGATTGAGTTGGATTGTGTTGGGTTGGGTTGGGTTGGTTGGTTGAGTTGGGTTGGGTTGGGTGAGTTGGCTTGGGTTGGGTTGGGTGAGTTGAGTTGGGTTGGGTTGAGTTGGGTTGGGTTGACGTTGGGTTGAGTTGGGTTGTGTTGGGTTGGGTTGACTTGGGTTGGGTTGGGTTGGGTTGGGTTGGGTTGGGTTGAGTTGGGTTGGGTTGGGCTTGGGTTGGGTTGGGTTGGGTTGAGTTGGGTTGAGTTGGGTTGGGTTGAGTTGGGTGAGTTGGGTTGGGTTGGGTTGAGTTGGGTGGGTTGGCTTGAGTTGGGTTAGGTGGGTTGGGTTGGGTTGAGTTGAGTTGGGTTGGGTTGGGTTGAGTTGGGTGAGGTTGGGTTGGGTTGGGTTGAGTTGAGTTGGGGCTGGGCTTGACTTGGGTTGGGTTGGGTTGACTTGGGTTGGCTGAGTTGAGTTGGGTTGGGTTGAGTTGGGTTGGGTTGGGTTGAGTTGGGTTGGGTTGGGCTTGACTTGGGTTGGGTTGGTTGGGTTGGGTTGGGTTGGGTTGAGTTGGCATTGGGTTGATTGGGTTGGGTTGGTTGGGTTGGGTTGAGTTGGGTTGGGTTGGGTTGATTGGGTGAGTTAGGTTGGGTTGGGTTGGCTTGGGTTGGGTTGGGTTGGGTTGGGTGGGCTTGGGTTGAGTTGGGTTGAGTTGGGTTGGGTGGGCTTGACTTGGGTTGGGTTGGGTTGGTTGAGTTGGGTTGAGTTGGGTTGGGTTGGGTTGGGTTGGTTGAGTTGGGTTGGGTTTGGGTTGGAGTTGGGTTGGGTGGTATTGGGTGAGTTGGGTGGGTTGGGTTGAGGTTGAGTTGGGTTGGGTTGGGTTGGGTTGAGTGGCATTGGGTGAGTTGAGTTGGGTTGGGCTGGGTTGAGTTGGGTTGGGTTGGTTGGGTTGGGTTGAGTTGGGTTGGGTTGGGTTGGGTTGGGTTGAGTTGGGTTGGGCTTGAGTTGGGTTGGGTTGAGTTGGGTTGGGTTGAGTTGGGGGTTGACTTAGGTGGCATTGGGTGAGTTGGGTTTAGTTGGGTTGGTTGAGTTGGGTGGGTTGGGTTGGTAGGTTTGGGTTGAGTTTGGTTGAGTTAGGGGGGTTGACTTGGGTTGAGTTGGTTGGGTTGGGTTGGATTGGTTGGGTTGGGTGGGGTTGAGTTGGGGGGGTTGGTTTGGGTTGGGTTGGGTTGTGTTGGTTGAGTTGGGTTGGGTTGAGTTGGTTGAGTTGGGTTGAGTTGGGTTTAGTTGAGTTGGGTTGGTTCAGTTTGGTTTGGTTGAGTTGGGTTGGGTTGAGTTGGGAAGAACCCTCAGGATCCTCCCATTCCCATTTAATTCCAAGGGCAGGGACACCTCCCATGGATCCAACCTGGCCTTGGGCACTTCCAGGGATGGGACATCCCAAACTTCTCTGGGAATTCCATCCCAAATCCCTTCCCAGCCAAGGATTCCTTCCCCAAAATTCCCCCTCAATCCCATTTTTCCAGTGGGAATCCATTCCCTGTGTCCCATCCCCTGGAATGTTCTGGAAGATTCTCCCTTGGGATCCCTCCCTGCTCCAGGGGGAACATTCCCAGCTCTCCCCCAGCAAAATCTGGGAATCCTGGAATGGTTTGGGTGGGAAAGGACCCCAAATCCTCCCATTCCCACCCAAAATTCCAAGGGCAGGGACACCTCCCATGGATCAGGTGGCTCCAACTTGGCCTTGGACACTTCCAGGGATGGGACATCCCAAACTTCTCTGGGAATTCCAGCCCAAATCCCTTCCCAGCCAAGGATTCCTTCCCCAAAAATTCCCCCTCAATCCCATTTTTCCAGTGGGAATCCATTCCCTGTGTCCCATCCCAAATCCCTCCCTCCTGGAGCCCCAGGAATGCTCTGGAATTCCCAAATTCCCACCCAATTTCCAGCCCAAATCCCTTCCCAGCCAAGGATTCCTTCCCCAAAAATTCCCCCTCAATCCCATTTTTCCAGTGGGAATCCATTCCCTGTGTCCCATCCCAAATCCCTCTCCAGCTCTCCTGGAACGTTCCGGAAGATTCTCCCTTGGGATCCCTCCCTGCTCCAGGGGGAACATTCCCAGCTCTCCCACAGCAAAATCCGGGAATCCTGGAATGGGTTGGGTGGGAAAGGGACCTCAAATCCTCCCATTCCAAAGAGCAGCTCCACCATCCAGGCACCTCCAAACCCCATCCCACCCCTCCCAGGGGGTGACTCCTCATCCCAAAGAGCAGCTCCACCATCCACCCCATCCCAAAGAGCAGCTCCACCATCCACCTCATCCCAAAGAGCAGCTCCACCATCCAGGCACCTCCAAACCCCATCCCACCCCTCCCAGGGAGCGACTCCTCATCCCAAAGAGCAGCTCCACCATCCAGGCATCTCCAAACCCCATCCCAAAGAGCAGCTCCACCATCCACCCCATCCCAAAGAGCAGCTCCACCATCCACCTCATCCCAAAGAGCAGCTCCACCATCCAGGCATCTCCAAACCCCATCCCACCCATCCCAGGGGTCGACTCCTCCTCCCAACCCCTCATCCCAACTCCCAAACCCCGGCAGGGCGGAGCGAGGACGAGGAGGGCTCCCAATCCCACGGCAAAGGCATCGACGGCGGCGACGGCGACGGCGACGTCACCAAAGAGCACAAACGTTCCAAGAGGCCCCGGACCATCCTGACCACCCAACAGCGCCGGGCGTTCAAGGCCTCCTTCGAGGTGTCCTCCAAGCCTTGCAGGAAGGTACAGGGATTAAAAAACCAAAATAACAACAAAAAAATCCCCCCCTCGAAATCCACCCCAAAATTGCAAAATCTCCCCCTCACAATTCCCCCCCGAATTGCAAAATCTCCCTCTCAAAATTCCCCAAAAATTCTAAAATCTCCCCCTCAAAATTCCCCCCTGAATTGCAAAATCTCCCCCCAAAATTCCAAAATCTCCCCCCAAAATTCCTCCCCAAAATTCCAAAATCCCCCTCTCAAAATTCTCCCCCAAAATCTCCCCCAAAATTCCAAAATCTCCCCCTCAAAATTCCCCCAAAATTCCAAAATCTCCCCATTCCCAGTGGGATTCAATCCCAACTGAGCTCGTTTTGAGAGCCCAACCCCCCTCTGGTCTCATTCCCATAGGAATTCGATCCCAACCTGAGCTCATTTAGGATCCCAATCCCTCTCTGGGCTCATTCCCAGCAGGATTTGATCCCAAACTGAGCTCATTTAGGATCCCAACCCCCATTTGGGATCATTCCCAGTGGGATTTGATCCCAAATTTGATCCCAAATGGGATCATTCCTGATGGGATTCAATCCCAACTGAGCTCGTTTTGAGAGCCCAACCCCCCTTTGGGATCATTCCTGGTGGGATTTGATCCCAAACTGAGCTCTTTTAGGAGCCCAACCCCCATTTGGGATCATTCCCAGAGGGATTTGATCCCAAATTTGATCCCAAATGGGATCATTCCTGGTGGGATTCAATCCCAACCGAACTCTTTTTGAAGCCCAACCCCCTCTGGGCTCATTCCCAGCGGGATTTGATCCCAAATTTGATCCCAAATGGGATCATTCCTGGTGGGATTCAATCCCAACTGAACTCTTTTTGAAGCCCAATCCCCCTCAGGGCTCATTCCCAGCGGGATTTGATCCCAAACTGAGCTCTTTTAGGAGCTCAATGGGATCATTCCCAGTGGGATTCAATCCCAACTCAGCTCTTTTCGGAGCCCAACCCCCCTCTGGTCTCATTCCCAGCGGGATTCAATCCCAACTCAGCTCTTTTAGGATCCCAACCCCCCTCTGGTCTCATTCCCGTTGGGATTCGATCCCAACCTCTCCCATTTTCCCCTCCTTTTCCCCCGGGATCAGGTTCGGGAGTCGCTGGCGGCCGAGACGGGGCTGACGGTGCGGGTGGTGCAGGTTTGGTTCCAGAACCAGCGGGCCAAGGTGAGGCCCCCCCTTCCCAAAATTCCCAATTATTTTCCCAATTATTTCCCCCCCAAAATTCCCGGGATTTCCTCCCAAAAAAAGGGGTTCCAAATTCCTGGTGTTTTGGGGTTTTTTTTCCTCCTGTAGATGAAGAAAATCGCCCGGAGGCGGCAACAACAACAACAACAACAACAACAACAACAACAACAGCAGCAGGAAGAGCAGGAAAAGCGGGAGCAGGGCGGGAATTCCGGGCTGGGAAGCGGGAGAGGGAGCGGCCGGAGCGGTGATGACGACAATGAAGGTGAGGGGGGAAAAAAAAACCGGGAATTTGGGGTGGAAAATCCCGGGATGGGGGCTGGGAGGAGATTCGGGGAATGGTGGGGGCGGGGGAGGGGAAAGGTTGGGAATTCTGGTGTCCCACAACATTCCAAGGGTAGGGAGATATTCCATGGATTGGGGGGGTCCAACTCGGTCTTGGGTGCTTCCAGGGGTGGGAATTCCAGAGTTTTCTCTTGGAATTCCAACCCAAATCCCTTCCCAGCCAAGGATTCCTTCCCAAAAATTTCAAGGGCAGGGAATTCCAGCCCAAATCCCTTCCCAGCCAAGGATTCCTTCCCAAATTCCAAGGGTAGGGAATTCCAGCCCAAATCCCTTCCCAGCCAAGGATTCCTTCCCAAATTCCAAGGGTAGGGACACATTCCATGGATTGGGGGGATCCCAGCCTGGCCTTGGGTGCTTCCAGGGGTGGGAATTCCAGAGTTTTCTCTTGGAATTCCAGCCCAAATCCCTTCCCAGCCAAGGATTCCTTCCCAAATTCCAAGGGTAGGGAGATATTCCATGGATTGGGGGGGTCCAACTCGGTCTTGGGTGCTTCCAGGGGTGGGAATTCCAGAGTTTTCTCTGGGAGTTCCAGCCCAAATCCCTGCCCAGCCAAGGATTCCTTCCCCAAAATTCCAAGGGCAGGGAATTCCAGCCCAAATCCCTTCCCAGCCAAGGATTCTTCCCAAATTCAGAGACGGGGAATTCCAGCCCAAATCCCTTCCCAGCCAAGGATTCCTTCCCAAATTCCAAGGGTAGGGAGACATTCCATGGATTGGGGGGGTCCAGCCCGGCCTTGGATGCTTCCAGGGGTGGGAATTCCACGGTTTTCTCTGGGAATTCCAGCCCAAATCCCTGCCCAGCCAAGGATTCCTTCCCAAATTCCAAGGGTAGGGAATTCCAGCCCAAATCCCTTCCCAGCCAAGGGTTCCTTCCCAAATTCCAAGGGTAGGGAGACATTCCATGGATTGGGGGGGTCCAGCCTGGCCTTGGATGCTTCCAGGGATGGGAATTCCAGAGTTTTCTCTGGGAATTCCAGCCCAAATCCCATCCCAGCCAAGGATTCCTTCCCAAAAATTCCAAGGGCAGGGAATTCCAGCCCAAATCCCTTCCCAGCCAAGGATTCCTTCCCGAATTCCAAGGGTAGGGAAACATTCCATGGATTGGGGGGATCCCAGCCTGGCCTTGGGTGCTTCCAGGGATGGGAATTCCAGAGTTTTCTCCTGGAATTCCAGCCCAAATCCCTTCCCAGCCAAGGATTCCTTCCCAAAAATTCCAAGGGCAGGGAATTCCAGCCCCAAATCCTTCCCAGCAAAGTTCCTTCCCAAAATTCAAGGGCAGGAATTCCAGCCCAAATCCCTTCCCAGCCAAGGATTCCTTCCCAAAAATTCCAAGGGCAGGGAATTCCAATCCAAATCCCTTCCCAGCCGAGGATTCCTTCCCAAAAGTCCAAGGGCAGGGAATTCC